CTGAATTGGCATATGCTAGAAGACATCTGTATCCTTGTTTTAAATAGTAAATAAACACATGTGATTTCTTCTTTGACTCCATGTTCGCAATAAGTAAAGTAAAATAATAGGTGGAATCACAGGGACACACAAAGGCAAGTCAATAAGCATTCCTGAAAGATCATAAACAACCTTCATTAAAAAAAAATATTAAATGGTGGAATGATGGTGTTTTTACATATCCCCCATCTAGGTCTACATAGTTCTCAAGGCAGGATTTCCATCTTTCTCACCCTTCCCCAAAGAATGCCGGGTTCTTCAGTGTGCACCACATTAGACCAGCAGTTGGGGCATACCTCGAAGGATAAGGATGAGAGATATAGGATGGATGAAGTAAGGTCTCCCAATGAAATTTTCCTAGGACATCCCTGGCTACCTTTCAAGAATGAACAGGTACATTGTCATGCTGGGGGTAAAACATCATAGTAAAACTTTCCTGGCATTTTTATCACCAATGCAGTTTTCAATTTTCTTAAACCACCCTATGATCATCCTCTGCCCCTCAAAAAGTGTTAATATTATGACTTTGGAATCCCTAAAACAGTTGCCAAAAACTTCAGAGCTGATGTCTAGACCTTGAATTTGACTGGTCCAAAGATTCCCTCAGAAGCCACTGTTTTGACAGGACCTTGCTGTCTGAATTGTACTGGTAACTCTGAGGCTCATGCCCAGGTATGGTCTGTTCCATGGACTCACTGTCATTATATATGTTGCTGAAAAGAAAGATCTGAGACAGCTGGTCCTGCCCCAATGCTTTTTGGCACCCATTGAACTTGCTGAGGCCAAAATGTTCACTTGAAATAAAAAATGCAAAAGCATATGAGATCCCAACTTAGTAGCTATCACATAAGTGATAATTCTGCAGTCTTCAACCACTATTTTCTGGATTCTAGCTACAGTTTCTTAAATAGGCAGTCCTCTCTCTCAAATTATCTTTGAAGTATTCTTGACTTTAGATGACCTTAGAATGTTTGATTCATCTAAAAACTTTTTGCTTTGTTTTGTTGTTTGCTTTTTAAAATAATTTTATTGGGGGCTCATACTACTCTTATCACAATCCATACATCCATCCATTGTGAAGCACATTTGTACATTTGTTGCCATCATCATTCTCAAAACATTTTCTTTCTACTTGAGCCTTTGGTATCAGGTCCTTATTTTCCCCCTCCCACCCTATTCCCTCCCTCAAGAACCCTTGATAATTTATAAATTATTATTATGTTGCCATGTCTTACACTGTTCGATGTCTCCCTTCACCCACTTTTCTGTTGTCCATCTCCCAGGGAGGGGATTATATATGTAGATCCTTGTGTTCAGTTCCCCCTTTCTACCCCATCTTCCCCTTACCCTACTGGTATCGCTACTCTCATTATTAGTGGTCTTGAGGGGGAAAGCATTAAAGAACCAGAGGAAGGTTGTATGTTTCATCAGTGCTATACTGCACCCTGACTGGCTCCTGAGACCCTTCTGTAAGGGGATGTCCAGTTGCCTACAGATGGGCTTTAGGTCTCCACTCTGCACTCCCCCTCATTCACAATGATATGATTTTTGGTTGTTTGATGGCTAATACCTGATACCATCGAAACCTCATGATCACACAGGCTGGTGTGGTTTTGTTGCTTCTGAGCTAGATGGCCGCTTGTTTATCTTCAAGCTTTAAGACCACAGACGCTATATCTTTTGATAGCTGGG